CAAGTCTGCATGACTTCAGAGATCTGACACTTTCAGACTGGTATGGCCATAGGCGAAATTAGCAAAAAGTGAACTTGCTGATGTTGGTATAATATCAAATACTATTTGCGACAAAAGACAAGACTCTTCTGACTAGGGAAAAAAGTGATCTGACTATGACATCATAATCTAAAAAAGAAATAAACAAAAGCTTACGCCACCTGAGGTTCCTAGTTAGTCTCCCATACAAGTACTAACTGTGCTTCCAAGTCTGCATGACTTGAGATCTTGATTCAGATCAGGCACTTTCAGACTGGTATGGCCGTAAGCAAAATTTGCAAAAAGTGATATCGCTGATGTTGGTATAATATCAAACACTGGTTGCAACAAAAGACAAGACGCTTCTGACTAGGGAAAAAGTGATCTGATTATGACATCATAATCTAAAAAAGAAATAAACAAAAGCTTACGGCACCTGAGGTTCCTAACAAAAAGGGAGAGAGAAAGCCTTAAAGAGTAACAAAACGATGATACTATTGTTATAAAACCAGCCGATAAGGGGGGAGGTTTTGTGATTTTATCTACAGAAATGTACGAAGAGGAGGCCTTTAGACAATTGAATGATATAAAGACATATGTTAAACTTACAAGGGACCCCACCTCTGATATCAAAAATATGTTAGAGAAATTTCTGAATCAAGGCAAGGATAAGAATATACTAAGTACGGATGAATTCAACTACTTAAACAAGAAATTTCCAAAGATACCAGTCATATATTTCCTACCGAAGATTCATAAAGACACTGAAAGACCCCCAGGAAGACCTATTGTCTCTGGTATAGATTCTATCCTATCAAATATGTCAGAATATATAGACATTATGTTACACCCTTATGTAAAATTGTCCCGATCCTATCTTAAGGATACTATGGACCTACTTAATAAATTAGAATCAATAGAGTGGGAGGATGATTATGTACTCATAACTTGTGACGTACAATCTCTATACACTATAATTGAACATACAAGGGGTTGTAAAGCTGTAAAAACTATTCTAGAGAGACAAAAAAAGACGAAAGAAGAACAGATAAATTTTATAATTGAAGGTATCTTTTTAATTCTAAATAATAATTATTTTTGGTTTAAAGACTCGTTTTATTTACAAAAAAACAGTACAGCGATGGGGACCAGGTTCGCGCCCAGCTATGCCAACCTCTTCATGACCGAGTGGGAAGAGAGAATGGTGTGGAGCGGGCATGGCTGGGTGGGGAGCCTGGTGGCCTATTTCCGCTATATAGATGATCTCCTTTTTATATGGAAAGGTCCAATCTCTACAGCAAAACTTTTTTTAGACTTTTTAAATACAAACAATGATGGTATAGTTTTAAAAGCAGATTTTAGTCAGACCCACGTCACTTTTTAGATTTGGATATTTATATTAAAGATAAGAGATTAAATACAAAAACTCATTTTAAACCGGTTCATGTTAATAATTTTATTGGAACAGATAGCTGTCATTATAGGAGCTGGCTTGACAGCATCCCTAAAAGCCAATTCCTTAGATTGAAGAGAAATTGCTCCGATGCTAATACTTTTAAAACTCAGGCGAACATGATGAAGAATAAGTTTATTGAAAAAGGTTACGATAAAGAGAAAATAGATAAAACTATAGAAAATATTACAAACACAGATAGAAAGGATCTTCTAACCCAAAATAAGGGTTCAAAAAATACTAAGAATAATGGGAAAGAGTTTGTATTGCAAATTGTCTTAGATTATAATAATAAAAATAAACAAATAAAAAAAGTAATTAGGAATAACTGGCATTTATTGAAAGAAGATCCTGTATTAGGAAAAATTATTCCAGACCAGCCAAAAATTGTATTTAGAGGAGCTCCAAATTTGAGAATGCAACTCACACAAAATTATACAAAACAGAAAAAGTCAGAAGTTATAAATAATTTTATGAAAAACAAGAATGGATTTTTTAGATGCAATTGCTGCGTAGCGTGCAAAAAAACTAAAAAAATGGACCGATATATCCATAGTTTTAAATCAAATAATACAGATAAAAGTTACAGTATTAAAAACACAATTACATGCATGAATAAAAACGTGATATATTTATTAGAATGTCCATGCGGACTGCAATATATAGGGAGAACTATAAGACCGTTGAAGGTCAGGATTGGGGAACATTGTAGAAACATAGAAAAAGGGCTAAAAACCCACTTGGTATCCTCACATTTTGAGTTGCATGGTAATGATCCACAGCACTTAAAATTTATGGGCATTTCAAAATTGTCCCAACACTGGAGAGGTGGTGATATAATTAATAAATTGGGCAAGAAAGAAATGGAGTGGGTCTATTTTTTAGACACACTACACCCTAAAGGTTTTAATGCAGAGTTTGATCTTTTTAATTTTTTATAATAAATATTAAAAGAAAAAATCTTTCACACCAGTTTTTATATACTTTGCATATTTATATACTATTGTTATTGCTTACACACCACCTCCCCTGTGTATCACTTTAAGATATCCATATATGTGCATGGTTCACTTTGTGTATAGCATATTTTTATAATATTGGTTATTTTTATAGATTTTTATGCATGCTTATTTTCTGGTATGCAACACCTGGTATAAACCTATATATTTTGTGTGTATAGCTCTATGATGTCTTTAAAAAAAAAAAAAAAAAAAAAGTGTGCTGGCTATCTTTTGTAATTAAACATATGTTTTATTTGCTTTTATTATATGTTTTTATATTTACATTCTTTCTTTAAATTTTATCACCTTGTTAATTACATAATTTACTTATTTTATTCTTATATGTATTGTATCCCATATCGGCAATTTGCCCAACTACAATTCCCATGAACAATACCAGATCGTGATACATCACTTCCGGGTGACGAAACAGTGTTTATAGAGAAATGGACAATGTAAACTACATGTCCCATCAACCATTGGGAGATACGCTGATGTCACTTCCGGGAGCCGCACACAACATGAATGGAGGGATACTACATATCCCAGCAAGCTACGAAAAGACTCGCTGACATCACTTCCGGGTGACACACGCGACCCGGAAGTAGGAAGTGAAATTGCATCAGGACTAAATCACATCAATCAGGAACACTTATATAAAGAGGACTCCATTGAATTTTGGACTTATTACTTCTGAAGAAGCCCCAGACCGGGCGAAACGCGTTAAGTAAGAGATCTGATACTTCTTTTATTACATATTTTTTATTTTGTAACAATAAAGTTATAGTTTTTACTACTTTATTTGTTGGTCCTGATACATCTTGAATCCTGACATATCCTTTGGTGGGGATCATACCACCACATGCTGTCTATACCAGAGCAAGATATTTGCTCTGAAATTTGTAAGTAGGATACTTTTCCTTTATTTGCACACTTTTTAATAGATATACTACACTATTGGATTTTATTTCTATTTTATCTTTCCATATACCACTGTGGAGGATTGGATACTGCATTATACCATCACTTGATATCCTGAGACGGGGATTATACCGCATAGGCGCTATACGGCAGAGCTCTGAGTAGCTCTGCAAAGTGTGAGTGAGTCTTTTATAAGCTTTTATATACTCTTATTTCACTTGACATATTGCACTATTATTGTTCTGTACTTTTTTGTCTTGAAGGTTTTATACATTCCTAATTAGAGGACTCTCTGTATGTATATATTTTAATTATTATTTGCACTGTTTGGGCGCGGTTTACCACTTTTGTCTCTTCTAATATCAAACACTGGTTGCGACAAAAGTCAAGACGCTTCTGACTAGGGAAAAAAGTGATCTGATTATGACATCATAATCTAAAAAAGAAATAAACAAAAGCTTACGGCACCTGAGGTTCCTAGTTGGTCTCCAATACAAGTATTAAACAGGCCCAAGTCTGCATGACTTCTGAGAACTGAAGAGATCGGGCACTTTCAGACTGGTATGGCCGTAGGCGAATTTAGCAGAAAGTGATCTCGCTGATGTTGGTATAATATCAAACACTGGTTGCGACAAAAGACAAGACGCTTCTGACTAGGGAAAGAAGTGATCTGATTATGACATCATAATCTAAAAAAGAAATAAACAAAAGCTTACGGCACCTGAGGTTCCTAGTTGGTCTCCCATACAAGTACTAATCAAGCCCAAGTCTGCATGACTTCTGAGAACTGACGAGATCGGGCACTTTCAGACTGGTTTGGCCATAGGCGAATTTAGCAGAAAGTGATCTCGCTGATGTTGGTATAATATCAAACACTGGTTGCGTCAAAAGACAAGACGCTTCTGACTAGGGAAAGAAGTGATCTGATTATGACATCATAATCTAAAAAAGAAATAAACAAAATCTTACGGCACCTGAGGTTCTTAGTTGTTCTCCCATACAAGTACTAATCAGGCCCAAGTCTGCATGACTTCAGAGATCTGACACTTTCAGACTGGTATGGCCATAGGCAAAATTAGTAGAAAGTGATTTCGCTGATGTTGGTATAATATCAAACACTGGTTGCAACAAAAGGCAAGACACTTCTGACTAGGGAAAAAAGTGATCTGATTATGACATCATAATCTAAAAAATAAATAAACAAAAGCTTACGGCACCTGAGGTTCCTAGTTGGTCTCCCATACAAGTACTAAACAGGCCCAAGTCTGCATGACTTCTGAGATCTGACGAGATCAGGCACTTTCAAACTGGTATAGCCGTAAGCAAATTTTTCAAAAAGTGATATCGCTGATGTTGGTATAATATCAAACACTGGTTGCGACAAAAGAGAAGAAGCTTCTGACTAGGGAAAAAGTGATCTGATTATGACATCATAATCTAAAAAAGAAATAAACAAAAGCTTACGGCACCTGAGGTTCCTAGTTGGTCTCCCATACAAGTACTAAACAGGCCCAAGTCTGCATGACTTCTGAGATCTTACGAGATCAGGCACTTTCAGACTGGTATGGCCGTAGGCGAAATTAGTAGAAAGTGATCTCGCTGATGTTGGTATAATATCAAACACTGGTTGCGACAAAAGACAAGACGCTTCTGACTAGGGAAAAAAGTGATCTGATTATGACATCATAATCTAAAAAAGAAATAAACAAAAGCTTACGGCACCTGAGGTTCCTAGTTGGTCTCCCATACAAGTACTAATCAAGCCCAATTCTGCATGACTTCTGAGATCTGACGAGATCAGGCACTTTCAGACTGGTATGGCCGTAGGCGAAATTAGCAGAAAGTGAAATCGCTGATGTTGGTATAATATCAAATACTATTTGCGACAAAAGTCAAGACGCTTCTGACTAGGGAAAAAAGTGATCTGATTATGACATCATAATCTAAAAAAGAAATAAACAAAAGCTTACTACACCTGAGGTTCCAAGCTGGTCTCCCATACAAGTACTAAGCAGGCCCAAGTCTGCACGACTTCTGAGATCTGACGAGATCAGGCACTTTCAGACTGGTATGGCCATAGGCAAAATTAGCAAAAAGTGATATCGCTGATGTTGGTATAATATCAAACACTGGTTGCGACAAAAGACAAGACGCTTCTGACTAGGGAAAAAGTGATCTGATTATGACATCATAATCTAAAAAAGAAATAAACAAAAGCTTACGGCACCTGAGGTTCTTAGTTGGTCTCCCATACAAGTACTAATCAGGCCCAAGTCTGCATGACTTCAGAGATCTGACACTTTCAGACTCGTATGGCCATAGGCGAAATTAGTAGAAAGTGATCTCGCTGATGTTGGTATAATATCAAACACTGGTTGCAACAAAAGACAAGACGCTTCTGACTAGGGAAAAAAGTGATCTGATTATGACATCATAATCTAAAAAAGAAATAAACAAAAGCTTACGGCTCCTGAGGTTCCTAGTTAGTCTCACATACAAGTACTAAGCAGGCCCAAGTCTGCATGACTTCAGAGATCTGAAACTTTCAGACTCGTATGGCCATAGGCGAAATTAGTAGAAAGTGGTCTCGCTGATGTTGGTATAATATCAAACACTGGTTGCAACAAAAGACAAGACGCTTCTGACTAAGGAAAAAAGTGATCTGATTATGACATCATAATCTAAAAAAGAAATAAACAAAAGCTTACGGCTTCTGAGGTTCCTAGTTAGTCTCACATACAAGTACTAAGCAGGACCAAGTCTGCATGACTTCTGAGATCTGACGAGATCAGGCACTTTCAGACTGGTCCGGCCATAAGCGGAACTAGCAGAAAGTGATCTCGCTGATGTTGGTATAATATCAAATACTATTTGCGACAAAAGACAAGACGCTTCTGACTAGGAAAAAAAGTGATCTGATTTATGACATCATAATCTAAAAAAAGAAATAAACAAAAGCTTACGGCACATGAGGTTCCTAGTTGGTCTCCCATACAAGTACTAATCAGGCCCAAGTCTGCATGACTTCTGAGATCTGGCACTTTCAGACTGGTATGGCCATAGGCGAAATTAGTAAAAAGAGAACTCGCTGATGTTGGTATAATATCAAACACTGGTTGCGACAAAAGACAAGACGCTTCTGACTAGGGAAAAAAGTGATCTGATTATGACATCATAATCTAAAAAAGAAATAAACAAAAGCTTACGGCACTTGAGGTTCCTAGTTGGTCTTCCATACAAGTACTAAGCAGGCCCAAGTCTGCATGACTTCTGAGAACTGAAGAGATCGGGCACTTTCAGACTGGTATGGCCGTAGGCGAATTTAGCAGAAAGTGATCTCGCTGATGTTGGTATAATATCAAACACTGGTTGCGACAAAAGACAAGACGCTTCTGACTAGGGAAAGAAGTGATCTGATTATGACATCATAATCTAAAAAAGAAATAAACGAAAGCTGACGGCACCTGAGGTTCCTAGTTGGTCTCCCATACAAGTACTAATCAAGCCCAAGTCTGCATGACTTCTGAGAACTGACGAGATCGGGCACTTTCAGACTGGTATGGCCGTAGGCGAATTTAGCAGAAAGTGATCTCGCTGATGTTGGTATAATAACAAACACTGGTTGCGACAAAAGACAAGACGCTTCTGACTAGGGAAAGAAGTGATCTGATTATGACATCATAATCTAAAAAAGAAATAAACAAAATCTTACGGCACCTGAGGTTCTTAGTTGGTCTCCCATACAAGTACTAATCAGGCCCAAGTCTGCATGACTTTAGAGATCTGACACTTTCAGACTGGTATGGCCATAGGCAAAATTAGTAGAAAGTGATCTCGCTGATGTTTGTATAATATCAAACACTGGTTGCGACAAAAGACAAGACACTTCTGACTAGGGAAAAAAGTGATCTGATTATGACATCATAATCTAAAAAATAAATAAACAAAAGCTTACAGCACCTGAGGTTCCTAGTTGGTCTCCCATACAAGTACTAAGCAAGCCCAAGTCTGTATGACTTCTAAGATCTGACGAGATCAGGCACTTTCAGACTTGTATGGCCGTAGGTGAAATTAGCAGAAAGTGTTCTCGCTGATGTTGGTATAATATCAAACACTGGTTGCGACAAAAGACAAGACGCTTCTGACTAGGGAAAAAAGTGATCTGATTTATGACATCATAATCTAAAAAAGAAATAAACAAAAGCTTACGGCACCTGAGGTTCCTAGTTGGTCTCCCATACAAGTACTAATCAGGCCCAAGTCTGCATGACTTCTGAGATCTGGCACTTTCAGACTGGTATGACCATAGGCGAAATTAGTAAAAAGCGAACTCGCTGATGTTGGTATAATATCAAACACTGGTTGCGACAAAAGACAATACGCTTCTGACTAGGGAAAAAAGTGATCTGATTATGACATCATAATCTAAAAAATAAATAAACAAAAGCTTACGGCACCTGAGGTTCCTAGTTGGTCTCCCATACAAGTACTAACCAGGCCCAAGTCTGCATGACCTCTGAGATCTGACGAGATCAGGCACTTTCAGACTGGTATGGCCATAGGCAAAATTAGTAGAAAGTGATCTCGCTGATGTTGGTATAATATCAAACACTGGTTGCGACAAAAGACAAGACGCTTCTGACTAGGGAAAAAAGTGATCTGATTATGACATCATAATCTAAAAAACAAATAAACAAAAGCATACGGCACCTGAGGTTCCTAGTTGGTCTCCCATACAAGTACTAATCAAGCCCAAGTCTGCATGACTTCTGAGATCTGACGAGATCAGGCACTTTCAGACTGGTATGGCCATTGGCAAAATTAGCAGAAAGTGATCTCGCTGATGTTTGTATAATATCAAACACTGGTTGCGACAAAAGACAAGACGCTTCTGACTAGGGAAAAAAGTGATTTGATTATGACATCATAATCTAAAAAAGAAATAAACAAAAGCTTACGGCACCTGAGGTTCCTAGTTGGTCTTCCATACAAGTACTAAGCAGGCCCAAGTCTGCATGACTTCTGAGATCTGACGAGATCAGACACTTTCAGACTGGTATGGCCATAGGCAAAATTAGTAGAAAGTGATCTCGCTGATGTTGGTATAATATCAAACACTGGTTGCAACAAAAGACAAGACACTTCTGACTAGGGAAAAAAGTGATCTGATTATGACATCATAATCTAAAAAAGAAATAAACAAAAGCTTACGGCACCTGAGGTTCCTAGTTGGTCTTCCATACAAGTACTAAACAGGCCCAAGTCTGCATGACTTCTGAGATCTGACGAGATCAGGCACTTTCAGACTGGTATGGCTGAAAGCGAAATTAGCAGAAAGTGATATCGCTGATGTTGGTAAAATATCAAACACTGGTTGCGACAAAAGACAAGACGCTTCTGACTAGGGATAAAGTGATCTGATTATGACATCATAATCTAAAAAATAAATAAATAAAAGCTTACGGCACCTGAGGTTCCTAGTTGGTCTCCCATACAAGTACTAAACAGGCCCAAGTCTGCAAGACTTCTGAGATGTGACGAGATCAGGCACTTTCAGACTGGTATGGCCATAGGCAAAATTAGTAGAAAGTGATCTCGCTGATGTTGGTATAATATCAAACATTGGTTGCGACAAAAGACAAGACGCTTCTGACTAGGGAAAAAAGTGTTCTGATTATGACATCATAATCTAAAAAAGAAATAAACAAAAGCTTACGGCACCTGAGGTTCCTAGTTGGTCTCCCATACAAGTACTAAGCAGGCCCAAGTCTGCATGACTTCTGAGAACTGAAGAGATCGGGCACTTTCAGACTGGTATGGCCGTAGGCGAATTTAGCAGAAAGTGATCTCGCTGATGTTGGTATAATATCAAACACTGGTTGCGACAAAAGACAAGACGCTTCTGACTAGGGAAAAAAGTGATCTGATTATGACATCATAATCTAAAAAAGAAATAAACAAAAGCTTACGGCACCTGAGGTTCCTAGTTGGTCTCCCATACAAGTACTAATCAAGCCCAAGTCTGCATGACTTCTGAGATCTGACGAGATCAGGCACTTTCAGACTGGTATGGCCATAGGCAAAATTAGTAGAAAGTGATCTCGCTGATGTTGGTATAATATCAAACACTGGTTGCGACAAAAGACAAGACGCTTCTGACTAGGGAAAAAGTGATCTGATTATGACATCATAATCTAAAAAAGAAATAAACAAAAGCTTACGGCACCTGAGGTTCCTAGTTGGTCTCCCATACAAGTACTAAGCAGGCCCAAGTCTGCATGACTTCTGAGATCTGACGAGATCAGGCACTTTCAGACTGGTATGGCCGCAGGCAAAATTAGCAGAAAGTGATCTCGCTGATGTTCGTATAATATCAAACATTGGTTGCGACAATAGACAAGACGCTTCTGACTAGGGAAAAAAGTGATCTGATTATGACATCATAATCTAAAAAAGAAATAAACAAAGGCTTACAGCACCTGAGGTTCTTAATTGGTTTCCCATACAAGTTCTAAGCAGGCACAACTCTGCATGACTTCTGAGATCTGACGAGATCAGGCACCTTTAGACTGGTATGGCCGTAGGCGAAATTAGTAGAAAGTGATCTCGCTGATGTTGGTATAATATCAAACACTGGTTGCGACAAAAGACAAGACGCTTCTGACTAGGGAAAAAAGTGTTCTGATTATGACATCATAATCTAAAAAAGAAATAAACAAAAACTTACGGCACCTGAGGTTCCTAGTTGGTCTCCTATACAAGTACTAATGAGGCCCAAGTCTGCATGACTTCTGAGATCTGACGAGATCAGGCACTTTCAGACTGGTATGGCCGTAGGCTAAATTAGCAAAAAGTGATATCGCTGATGTTGGTATAATATCAAACACTGGTTGCGACAAAAGACAAGACACTTCTGACTAGGGAAAAAGTGATCTGATTATGACATCATAATCTAAAAAAGAAATAAACAAAAGCTTAAGGCACCTGAGGTTCTTAGTTGATCTCCCATACAAGTACTAATCAGGCCCAAGTCTGCATGAATTCAGAGATTTGACACTTTCAGACTGGTATGGCCATAGGCGAAATTAGTAGAAAGTGATCTCGCTGATGTTGGTATAATATCAAACACTGGTTGCGACAAAAGACAAGACACTTCTGACTAGGGAAAAAGTGATCTGATTATGACATCATAATCTAAAAAAGAAATAAACAACAGCTTACGGCACCTGAGATTCCTAGTTGGTCTCCCATACAAGTACTAATCAAGCCCAAGTCTGCATAATTTCTGAGATCTGACGAGATCAGGCACTTTCAGACTGGTATGGCCGTAGGTGAAATTAGCAGAAAGTGATCTTGCTGATGTTGGTATAATATCAAACAATGGTTGCGACAAAAGACAAGACGCTTCTGACTAGGGAAAAAGTGATCTGATTATGACATCATAATCTAAAAAAGAAATAAACAAAAGCTTACGGCACCTGAGGTTCCTAGTTGGTCTCCCATACAAGTACTAATCAGGCCCAAGTCTACATAACTTCTGAGAGCTGACGAGATCAGGCACTTTCAAACTGGTATGGCTGTAAGCGAAATTTGCAAAAAGTGATATCGCTGATGTTGGTATAATATCAAACACTGGTTGCGACAAAAGACAAGACGCTTCTGACTAGGGAAAAAGTGATCTGATTATGACATCATAATCTAAAAAAGAAATAAACAAAAGCTTACGGCACCTGAGGTTCCTAGTTGGTCTCCCATACAAGTACTAACAGGCCCAAGTCTGCATGACTTCTGAGATCTGACACTTTCAGACTGGTATGGCCATAGGCGAAATTAGTAGAAAGTGATCTCGCTGATGTTGGTATAATATCAAACACTGGTTGCAACAAAAGACAAGACGCTTCTGACTAGGGAAAAAAGTGATCTGATTATGACATCATAATCTAAAAAAGAAATAAACAAAAGCTTACGGCTCCTGAGGTTCCTAGTTAGTCTCACATACAAGTACTAAGCAGGCCCAAGTCTGCATGACTTCTGAGATCTGACGAGATCAGGCACTTTCAGACTGGTCTGGCCATAAGCGGAATTAGCAGAAAGTGATCTCGCTGATGTTGGTATAATATCAAATACTATTTGCGACAAAAGACAAGACGCTTCTGACTAGGGAAAAAAGTGATCTGATTATGACATCATAATCTAAAAAATAAATAAACAAAAGCTTACGGCACCTGAGGTTCCTAGTTGGTCTTCCATACAAGTACTAATCAGGCCCAAGTCTGCATGACTTCTGAGATCTGACGAGATCAGGCACTTTCAGACAGGTATTGCCATAGGCGAAATTAGCAGAAAGTGATCTCGCTGATGTTGGTATAATATCAAATACTATTTGCGACAAAAGACAAGACGCTTCTGACTAGGGAAAAAAGTGATCTGATTATGACATCATAATCTAAAAAAGAAATAAACAAAAGCTTACGGCACCTGAGGTTCCTAGTTGTTCTTCCATACAAGTACTAAGCAGGCCCAAGTCTGCATGACTTCTGAGCTCTGACGAGATCAAGCACTTTCAGACTGGTATGGCCATAGGCGAAATTAGCAGAAAGTGATCTCGCTGATGTTGGTATAATATCAAACACTGGTTGCGACAAAAGACAAGACGCTTCTGACTAGGGAAAAAAGTGATCTGATTATGACATCATAATCTAAAAAAGAAATAAACAAAAGCTTACGGCACCTGAGGTTCCTAGTTGGTCTCCAATACAAGTACTAAACAGGCCCAAGTCTGCATGACTTCTGAGATCTGACGAGATCGGGCACTTTCAGACTGGTATGTCCGTGGACGAAATTAGCAGAAAGTGATATCGCTGATGTTGGTATAATATCAAACACTGGTTGCGACAAAAGACAAGACGCTTCTGACTAGGGAAAAAGTGATCTGATTATGACATAATAATCTAAAAAAGAAATAAACAAAAGCTTACGGCACCTGAGGTTCCTAGTTGGTTTCCCATACAAGTACTAAACAGGCTCAAGTCTGCATGACTTCTGAGATCTGACGAGATCAGGCTCTTTCAGACTAGTATGGCCATAGACGAAATTAGCAAAAAGTGATATCTCTGATGTTGGTATAATATCAAACACTGGTTGCGACAAAAGACAAGACGCTTCTGACTAGGGAAAAAAGTGATCTGATTATGACATCATAATCTAAAAAAGAAATAAACAAAAGCTTACGGCACCTGAGGTTCTTAGTTGGTCTCCCATACAATTACTAATCAGGCCCAAGTCTGCATGACTTCAGAGATCTGACACTTTCAGACTGGTATGGCCAAAATGCGAAATTAGTAGAAAGTGACCTCGCTGATGTTGGTATAATATCAAACACTGGTTGCAACAAAAGACAAGACGCTTCTGACTAGGGAAAAAAGTGATCTGATTATGACATCATAATCTAAAAAAGAAATAAACAAAAGCTTACGGCACCTGAGGTTCCTAGTTGGTCTCCCATACAAGTACTAAGCAGGCCCAAGTCTGCATGACTTCTGAGATCTGACGAGATCAGGCACTTTCAGACTGGTATGGCCATAAGCGAAATTTGCAAAAAGTGATATCGCTGATGTTGGTATAATATCAAACACTCGTTGCAAAAAAAGAGAAGACGCTTCTGACTAGGGAAAAATGTGATCTGATTATGACATCATAATCTAAAAAAGAAATAAACAAAAGCTTACGGCACCTGAGGTTCCTAGTTGGTCTCCCATACAAGTACTAAACAGGCCCAAGTCTGCATGACTTCTGAGATCTGATGAGATCAGGCACTTTCAGACTAGTATGGCTGTATGCGAAATTAGCAGAAAGTGATATCGCTGATGTTTGTATAATATCAAACACTGGTTGCGACAAAAGACAAGACGCTTCTGACTAGGGAAAAAAGTGATCTGATTATGACATCATAATCTATAAAAGAAATAAACAAAAGCTTACTACACCTGAGGTTCCTAGCTGGTCTCCCATACAAGTACTAAGCAGGCCCAAGTCTGCATGATTTCTGAAATCTGACGAGATCAGGCACTTTCAGACTGGTATGGCTGTAGAGGAAGTTAGCGGAAAGTGATCTCGCTGATGTTTGTATAATATCAAACACTGGTTGCGACAAAAGACAAGACGCTTCTGACTAGGGAAAAAGTGATCTGATTATGACATCATAATCTAAAAAAGAAATAAACAAAAGCTTACTACACCTGAGGTACCTAGCTGGTCTCCCATACAAGTACTAAGCAGGCCCAAGTCTGCACGACTTCTGAGATCTGACGAGATCAGGCACTTACAGACTGGTATGGCCATAGGCAAAATTAGCAAAAAGTGATATCGCTGATGTTGGTATAATATCAAACACTGGTTGCGACAAAAGACAAGACGCTTCTGACTAGGGAAAAAGTGATCTGATTATGACATCATAATCTAAAAAAGAAATAAACAAAAGCTTATAGCACCTGAGGTTCTTAGTTGGTCTCCCATACAAGTACTAATCAGGCCCAAGTTTGCATTACTTCAGATATCTGACACTTTCAGACTGGTATGGCCATAGGCGAAATTAGTAGAAAGTGATCTCGCTGATGTTGGTATAATATCAAACACTGGTTGCAACAAAAGACAAGACGCTTCTGATTAGGGAAAAAAGTGATCTGATTATGACATCATAATCTAAAAAAGAAATAAACAAAAGCTTACGGCTCCTGAGGTTCCTAGTTAGTCTCACATACAAGTACTAAGCAGGCCCAAGTCTGCATGACTTCTGAGATCTGACGAGATCAGGCACTTTCAGACTGGTCTGGCTATAAGCGGAATTAGCAGAAAGTGATCTCGCTGATGTTGGTATAATATCAAATACTATTTGCGACAAAAGACAAGACGCTTCTGACTAGGGAAAAAAGTGATCTGATTATGACATCATAATCTAAAAAAGAAATAAACAAAAGCTTACGGCACCTGAGGTTCTTAGTTGGTCTCCCATACAAGTACTAATCAGGCCCAAGTCTGCATGACTTCAGAGATCTGACACTTTCAGACTGGTATGGCCATAGGCGAAATTAGTAGAAAGTGATCTCGCTGATGTTGGTATAATATCAAACACTGGTTGCGACAAAAGTCAAGACGCTTCTGACTAGGGAAAAAAGTGATCTGATTATGACATCATAATCTAAAAAATAAATAAACAAAAGCTTACGGCACCTGAGGTTCCTAGTTGGTCTCCCATACAATTACTAAGCAAGCCCAAGTCTGCATGACTTCTGAGATCTGACGAAATCAGGCACTTTCAAACTGGTATGGCCATAAACAAAATTTGCCAAAAGTGATATCGCTTATGTTGGTATAATATCAAACACTGGTTGCAACAAAAGACAAGACGCTTCTGACTAGGGAAAAAGTGATCTGATTATGACATCATAATCTAAAAAAGAAATAAACAAAAGCTTACAGCACTTGAGGTTCCTAGTTGGTCTCCCATACAAGTACTAAACAGGCCCAAGTCTGCATGACTTCTGAGATCTGACGAGATCAGGCTCTTTCAGACTGGTATGGCCGTAG